CTAGTTAATATAACTAGTAGCTATTGTCAATCTCATTTTCAAAGAATTGATCCAATCCTCTTTCACAACTATCTGCGTATTAAAGACAGTTAGAGACACACATATATATGATTTCCTTGATATTTTTAAAAATACATTTTTAAAATATCTATGTTGTACCTGGCTTGATAATTCTACTAATTTGTAGAAGTTATGATATACAGGGGCTTGGACGTTGCACAAGTAGGATGTGAAACTGAGCATGGTTTGGCCCAACCAAATATTTTTCTCTTCTTCCCCTGGTTGTAAATACACTAGGTGTGATGACCCGGGGCGTGGCACAAAGGCAACACAGTCAAATAAGCAAGAAGAGTCCCTTTATTATTTCCAATTTTGCCCCCAATGTCCAGGTTACCTTCGGCTGGAGAAAACCTCTCCCAGGAACACCCTGTAACTGGAGAAAATTCAGTACAAAACAAGGTACATACAAACTGTAACTAGCAATCCACACAAACCAAGCTGCAGTAATTAACTGGACAGGGCAGGAGAAAGAATTTCAGACTTGAAAGCACAGCAAAATTCACACAGTTTGGAAGATGCCAGGAATACAGATAAGCCACGACGAGATCAGACAAATTCATGATTTGCTCCTAACAGCTTGCTGCGCACACCTTCCCTTTTTAAACACTGTGTTCCCAGCTGCAGCTAATGAAGGGAATCAGGGCCCTTTCCTCTCCCGTAAGCCATGCAACTCACGTTGCTCCCTTCTCCGTTCCTCCCTGCATGCCCTAGGTTGAAGAGAGGGCGGCTTGGGGCTTCCTCCAAATTTCCTCTCCCTTGCTCTACCTCTCCCCTGCTCTGTTCAGCTGGACTTTGCCTTTCCCCAGTTTCCTCCACAACCAATGGAGCCACACTCCCACTCCCTGTCAGCTGTTCGGCCTCCCCCTCCAAATCAGATTCTGACAGGGGCATGACACTAGGTCAAATGTGAGTTTAAATTAGAATTGTGCAGTACATTATGCCTGAAATATTGTCCCCAAACATCCAATTTTGACAGTTCCTAAAATGTCACAAAGCGTTCTCCTGATCTTATTGGAAGTGATTTGACCTTGAAAAGGGAATAAGGCATTTGGGGGCCAGAATGATTCAGCTGTGGAATGGCTTCATTATTTCTAGTTTAGCTGCAGATATGAAAGGCTACAAGGTAGATTGATGCAGATGCAATGGGTTTATATGTAAAATTTAATAATCATGTGGCTAACACAGTACATAAACTCACAGTGTAGTGTTGCATGAGAAAGTAGGATGTTATGGCTTGTGCAACGAGGCAGGGTTTCAACCATTTAACTTAGTACATTATTTGAACTTGGCTAGGCTGAGACAGAAATGGCTCAGGAAAATTTGAACAAATTCTCAGAGCTTGTTCTTCTGTCCAGATTACTGTGGCATTAATGGTGTGTGTGTGTGTGTGTGTGTGTGTGTGTGTGTGTGTGTGTGTCAACAATTAGCAACTGGTCATTACTTTTGCTTATAAAAACTCCAACAATTAAAATTCTGTGCCTAACAAGCAGATCCTAAGTGGGCGGCTGAAAAGTTGGTAAGCTTCAGGAAACATTTGTAACTCTAACAAACCATGACAACTTATTGTTAACTAAATCAATTGCTTTGGGATTGGGATTTGGGCAGGAGGGGGCCAAGAAGTGAGGGAGGGGATCAGCCGATAGGACAACCTTTAGAAGAAATCTGATTTCATGTTAACTTGAGTACAGGTTGACATCTTGCCTAGCAAGCAATAACCTTTCTCCAATTTTGGTTCTCATCGCTTTAGACAATGTACATAGCAATGCCTTGTAATTACATATTTTCCAAACAAACTGCAGTCAAGCAAGACTAGTCAAAATGAAACACAAGCCCGCTAGATCATGATTTTCCAGCGTCAAAGCATATAGCGCTGAAATCTTTGCAATTAAGAGCAGTGCTGCTAGTCAGAGACGGACAGAATTCGTTTTGCTCTCCGTTGCTCCCTTGTGGCTATTTTAAACAACTTTGCATCCGTAGCGTTTCTGAAGCTGAAGAGTTTGTAAGAAAACATTGATATAATTAATTTTAAAAAGCTCTCGTAGACAGGAGCCGTGACACCAGAGAATCCTTAATTTCCTTTGACAGCTGCCATAAGCTTAACCCAAGTTGAATATTTTACTAGTGGTAATGTTTCACATGATCCTACTACCCCTTAATTCAAACCCCACACATGATCACGAGATCTTGAAGAGGCCAGTAGAATTTTTAGAATTAAGGCAAGTTTGAGAGATCTTATTTGTATTTTGAGTGGCTGTCCGAGACAGTGAATGAGATGCCTACAATTGTTCTGAAAATCTGAGTCGCCAACAAAAAACCTTTAAGGGGAAATAAATCTATGCTCCACACATCTTAAAGTGGCTAAGATTAGGAAAAACTGCAATAGGGCTTCAATATTACAGATTTTATGTTAGGTTTTAGGCCTAACCTCGACATGAAGATTAGAGATGGAGCAAAATAGTCTCTCTGGCCAAAGGAAGATCATTTCTTATCTTCCCAGCCTGCCGACCGAGGTGTGCAAATTTTTACAAACAGAAACTTCCTAAGGAACAGACCAGAAGCCATGACAAGCTTCTTTTGAGTTTCAAACCTCCTGGGAGAAAAATATTAACAATTGTTGGAGGGTAAAAACAATTTCTACTTCCTCAAAGCATCGTGAGGGAATATATAACCGAAACCAAACCACTTGGTTCAGCTCTAGAAGAGGCAATTATAGAAGTTGAATTGTCTGACCTATCAGTACTATGTTTATCTACAACTTCTCTCATCCCCCGCCACCTGGACCTAACTCAGTATCTCTCACAGTACCCGATCGTACTTGTTACAGATTGAATAAAGACTAAACGGACATACTAAATATACATACACAAACAATTCAGACAGAACCCACAAGCATTTGTTACAAGATGTCTGTGCAACACAGTAGGGAGAGGATGTAACAAGGTACAAGACCAATCACATGGTACACCCTGCCATATATAAAAAACATTTCAGAAGCAGTAAAACACAGCTTCCAAGATCTGCAAGTGGGCATCGCACACTGCCCAGAGGCTACCATACGAGGACAAATCATGCATTGCAAAGATTACTTGGAGTGGGGGAGATATTTCTAATGGAATCTACCAGATCCCCCGCATAGATTGCCCCTGTGACTATATAGGACAGATGGGAAGGAAGCTAACAACCAGACTGCAAGAATGCAAGCCAGCAGTCAGATGAGATGATCTGAACTTACTGGTAGCCTTACATTGCAACAAACAAGGACATACATTCAATTTTGCAGACTGTTGGATGAACAGATATAAAAACTGCCAAGGAAGTGATTGAAGCCTGGGAAATGGGCCCCTCACCAGTTAACAGGAGTGCTGTTTTACCACCAGCTTACCAAGCAGTTCGTTTACTTTATTGTCATTGCACCTCGTACAATGAAATTAAATGGCATATTCAGTGTACATTATAACTATAAAAATAAAACACAAACACACATCCTTCGCATTCTATACAATTAAATTGAAACCCCCTGATATTGCCTTAATATTGCACTATACAGCAGAATTCAAAAGAGCTACTGCCCTGGGATAGAAGCTGTTTTTCAATCTATTTGTCCTTGTTTTTATTATCCTCTACCGTCTGCCAGATGGTAATAGTTAAAAAAAAAAAAGGGGGGTTCCAAGGATGAGATGGTTCTTTCAGAATGTTTTGAACTTTCTTAAGGCAGCGGGAGCTCTAAAGCTCTTCCAAAGAGGGGAGAGGGCAACCCATGATCCTCTGGGCAATGACGTTGACCCTCTGGAGTGCTTTACTATCTACCACTGAGCAATTGGCAAACCATACACAGGTGCAGTACTTAGGAAACAGGTGCTTGACAGCACAAGGAAACAATTTAATAGCCAGCCATCAACACCCCAGTCATCAACTAAAAAACCCCACACAGAACCAAGCACCATATAAATATCATACAGAGACTAGCTCAAAGCACACAGTCTGCTAGAAGGAAGTTCCCTGAGGATGGGTTCTAGCACGAGTCCGAAGTTCGGATGACAAAAATCTTTGATGCTAGTGATTAATCCAGATTGGCCCTAAATACATATACCATCACAATGGATATTAAAAAAACTACATATGCCAAGGGTCCCAATATTGGAGTTCATAAAAGAGCTCCCTTGGTGAATATGAAGCTTCCTGCCTCACTTAAGAAAGCTTCAGGTTTTTTTAGCACAACACAAGAGACACAAAAACACATATATCTCTATTATCTGGCTATGCTGAGGTGGATAGGAGCTAAGAGTTTGCTATTTTCTCAGATGTATTAGAATAATGCAAGAAAATACAATGGTGTTGGTGGAAAAAAAGAGACAATGTTCTCAATGTTAGGTATAGTAAAGGTAGAAGATTCCCCTTGCACATACGTGCTAGTCGTTTCCAGTTCTAGGGGGCGGTGCTCATCTCTGTTTCTAAGCCGAAGAGCCAGCGCTGTCCGAAGACGTTTTCGTGGTCATGTGGCCAGCATGACTAAATAGCAAAGGCCAATGGAACGCTGTTACCTTCCCACCAAAGTGGACCCTCTTTTTCTACTTGCATTTTTACATGCTTTCAAGCTGCTAGGTTGGCAGAAGCTGGGACAAGTAACAGAAGCTCACTCCGTTACGCGGCGCTAGGGATTCGAACCGCTGAACTACTGACCTTTCTGATTGACAAGCTCAGCGTCTTAGCCACTGAGCCACCGCGTCCCATTTTAGGTACAGTAAAATGTTAAGAAAAAGTACTATGATGGTGCAAGAAAGCAGGAAACCACCATTTCTCCAAACACCACGTATAAGGTAAGGTAAAAATATGTATCCTGTATTTCTTCACTTCCCAAATTATGACATTAAATGGTTCTTGAAAAAAATTGGGGCAGAATTCTAGATCAGAAAGAAAACCAAACCTAACCCCACCAGAAAGTCATCATGTGATTCCCCCCCTCAATATCTGTCCACAGCATCAAATCAGACATTTATATAAAGAGGCTTTATTATGTACATAGGAATGTGACATTCACCACTCTCTTTGCAAAGAAATATCTGAATTGGACAAATAATCTAGAAGTTTCTGCACTTCAATCCAATAAATTCTCATGTATTTACATTCAAGTTTACATTATGTACTTCAAGTTCCATATTGGAAGCCACTGGAAGATTTCAGCTTGCCTCTTCTTAACGCAAGAATATGTTTGGTGAGGGAGGATGAAAATCTGGAGAATGTTTGATGGATATTCTGTCAACGCTCCACCAGTTGAAACTGAACAAGGAAACCATTTTTAAGTGGCCTCTGTTTATGTTATGTGACTCTTCCTCTATCACCACCCAAAACATCTATGGCTGGATGCAAAATTCCCTTCTACCTTTCCAATTTACGGATGAAATCACTCTCAGCAATTTCTTGGATTCTTGTTATCACATCCATCCAGGGTTATCGGAACATTCTAGTTTTATTTACCACAATCCCTGCCTGGAGTATCAAAGCTGAGGGCTGTTTATTGAAGGGCAGTGGCATCTGTGATTTCTCCATTTTGGTAGCATTTACAACTCAACAAGATCAGAAATCCTGATCTTTTCTTCCAACGCAGCTGGGATTTGAGTGCCTTGAGAAATATTGTTCCTGCATCCTGTTGTTCCAAAAACAGGCTATAGCAATCATATGTGCATTGGCTTGTTCATCGTAATTAATACTGCAATTTTTTTAAAAAAAAATTACAATTAAAAAAGTCTATAGTTTACTAATATGAGAACAAAGAAACAATCATGCCACAAAATCCAGTTTAGGATGCTTATTATTCTTGCTTATTCCAACAGGTAAATTCTCTGTGCAGGATGAACATCTGGCAATATTAATGCCATTTTCTTCTTTTGTGGAAAACGTGGATTTAGTTTTCCCAGTTATTCCAGTTTCAATATAAATATCTCTCCCTGCTTTATCAAAGAATTAGCAACGTCTTCATCTCAGAGTGCTTCTAAGATATGCAGGGCAATATCCTGAGGACCCTGAAGAACAATAGATGGTCAGTTTTTTCTTCTGACAGATGTCCTTTCATCTGTCCAGAGAGCTCTGGGGTGCTTTCTTGGATCTTATAAAATGGGAAAGCTGTTTTAAGCTGGTTCAAAATGGAACTATTCTTCATATACGGAGCGTGAAAAACAAAACCTGGCCACCGGAGCCTCTGGAAATATGGTCACATGAATAAAATCATCTCCGTTCTTCATGTTGTTTCTTTTGTGGAACCAGTAGCAGAAACCTGGGCTGGCACCCCATCCAGTTCAGATTCACGAATAAAAATAACTGCATCTCCACTGACATTTATTAGACACTGGGCCTGCAGCAACAAAGAAGGGGTGTTCAATCATATGCATGATGGACTTTGAAACTGGCAGTTTCTGATAGCTTACAGAGATTTATGAAATGTGGTTTCGGTAGCTTCACAAGTTCTAGATATAGAGCTGGGGAAAAATATAGATGATAGCAATAGTCCTATATGGGATTCAGCAGATAGTTAGAGCAGCTATCAGGATAAAGAGGTTTTGGAGTAGCGTTTGTGTACTTTCCTGTCTTTAACATTTTTAAAATAATTTTTACATAATTTATAAATTGCCACCACCATTTAAGGTGTGGCAATGCTATGGAGCACCTTTTGCAAATTATTTCTGAAACACTGGGCATTGTTTTGCAAAGTCACGGGGCCAAAGGCTTCTTCCTTTTGGTTCTGAAAATTCCAGAAACAAGTTATAAATGGTTTGATTTGGCTCTCATTTTCTCAGCAAAAAGTTGTGGGCTTTGGGGTTATCACAAAGAACCCCCAGATGGACACCAAGAGGATTTGGTAAGGCTAGCATATTTACCTGGTTTTTGTTTGGGTTCTCCATAAACACACACTGCTTCATGATGTAGGAGACTACAGCATTTCCCCCAAGGGCTGCCACGTGAGCTCGGACCATCGCAAACACTTCAGCAACAAATGCATGCAGGAAGCCACTCACACCACCTTCCTACAAAACATATACAAAGAAGTTGTTTGAATGTAGAACCACAGAGTTGGAAGGAACCTTAGAGGTCTTCTAATCCAACCCTCCACTCAAGCAGGAAACCCTACACCACTACGAAAAAGTACTCAGAGAGAAGTCCCACAATACCAAGCAGGTTACAGACTCCCATACCACTGAAAATCATAACTGTGGGAGAATGGGTGGCAGAGCCTGAGGGTGGTGGAGTCAAGAGACTCATCAGCCTATAATCACTATGTAGCTTCAAATGGACGAAGTCCAACCCCTCTTGAATTCCACTGACCTTTATCTAGCACCAAAACACTGGCAACTGTTAGCTGATTTCTATGCATTAACATGGGTAATAATAAATCAATTTAATTGGAACTTCAAGTGTGATCCTGGTCTTTTGCACTGGACAACAACTGATCTTAAATGGTGCGACCCCTGGTGCTCTCTGAGCTCGTTGTTTTCTTGCAGGTGTTTCATTAATAATGAAAGGCAATGAAATGTCTGCAAGAAAAACACCAAGTTGAGACAGCACCAAGGATCCCACAGTTCAATTCAGAACTTCAATTATTCTATAGATCTTAAATCAAATCTGTACTGATAATTCATGTTCTCTCCTAGTTGAGAGCCTTCAGATCTTCAGGACAACCAGCATGAAGTACTTCTTTTCCATCAATGTTACTTTGCTAATGTAGAATTTAGATAAAGTCTATAAGGATCTCATGTCAAAAGGGGGGACTAGAAATTGGAGCTTGACTAGCATTCAATGTATATAGTTCTCTAGAGGAGAACTAGCAGATGAGATCTAACAGCAACCCCTTCTACTGGAGACAGAGGGGCAGGGTAGTCCCATTGGGGTAAGATGGCTCCTCAGATATTCTGGAGCCATGCCACATTTCAGATTTAAATCCACCCTGAACTCAATTCATGCCTGCAATTACTCATGGGAGAAATACACTTGTCAGCTCACCTCTCGCAGAGAAGTGGTTTCTCGTATAAAGAACATGTTGATGATTCCAAGGTATTTCGTTATTTTTGCCCCCGGGATGAAAGAAAGCGGTGTCATCTTCACAACTGGCACAGTGGAGTTCATTCCCATGGGTCCCAGACGGTTACGGCACTGTCCTTCGGTCAGTGGACTTGGCTTGTCGAAGGAGATGGCTACACAGGGCAAAGAGAGAGAGGGAGAGAAGCTCAACTGGAACTCTGGGCAAACCGGCTGGAGGCAGCACCAACAGTGACCCTTCCACATGGGTGTGAGAGAGCTGGGTGACCACATTCAGCTGCCTGTGATGCTCAGCCAAAGAAAGCGAATTATCATGCAGCACATGCAAGTGAGAGGCCAGAAGCTTGGTTGGGATTAATTTGGGGAGAAAAGGATCATTCCTGCAAAAGGAGACACGGAGGCCAGCAGCTGCACAGACAGATGATTGGTTTATAAAGTGGATCTACCGAAAAGGGTGGGTGGGAGGGTGAGAGGGTAGAGTGGAAAGATTTGAAAAGGGAGTCAAAATTTGATGAACATTTTCTGCAAGAAGGAATGACAAAAGTCTACAGGAAAGAGTGTGAAAGTTGACATGTTTCTCCGTTCCACTTTTTTTTTTTTTTTGCTGTTTTTGCAAATTTGGTCTAAGCTCTTCCAGCTTCCATCTGAATTGTCATCTTGAGCAAATAAAGCAAAACCTAGGGAACGACCTAAATAAGAATTTAAAAATAATAATAATAAAATCTCACCATGGATTAATTCGGTAATTACAGCCATGCAGGTCACATAGGGAATCCTTGCATGTTATGAGTAATTTCACTGAGGTATACATACATATTCCGCCATGCAGAGTATGTATATTTTTGGGGTGGGTGAGGGTGGGTGGGTTACAATTCACAAGCCTATTGGCCTCCGATAACATATGCTGGCAACGATTCGGGGAGCCGCTTGCTCCAAAATTAACCGTTTTTGGACAGACTCCGTGCGTCTGCAGCTTTCACACTCGGGACACTGATTTTTGCAACGCCACTATTGAATACGAAGCTCTGCCCTTTGCCACTGAGAGATCAGAATCTAGGCTCCCAATGATCAGAATGGGGTAGAAACAGCTGCCTACTTGTCTTAATTGATCCACGCCTTATGGTGTGAGCTTTCAGTTTAATGAATTCTATCCAGCTGTTGCATCTGTCTGCAAAGGAACTGTAATCAACTGAAGTGGCTGGAAACACAGACAGAGAAACAGAAGAGGGGAAAAAAAAAAAGAAAAGGAAAATATGGATGACGCCCCTTTGCCCATTGAAGCGTTCCTTCTGATGAACCCGTTATCTTGATTTGTATCCCGCCTTTATTATTTTTTATCAATGACTCAAGGCGGCGAACGTATCCAACACATCTTCCTCCTCCTATTTTCCCCATAACCACCACCCTGTGAAATGAGTTGGGCAGAGAGTGAATGACTGGCCCAAAGTTACCCAGATGACTTTAATGCCTTAAGGCAGGAATAGAACTCAGTGAATCCAACAGTTATTGGTTTTCCCAAGTCTTTCGATGAGATTTGAATGGAGCTAAGGTAGTGCATTATTTGTCTAAATTTCACATATATATATAAATTAGTTATGAGGTGAGATGGCTCAGCAGTTAAAGATGCTGACCTTTTCAGCTGGAGAGCTGACAGCTCAGGTTTGAGACCTGAATGCTGTGCAAGGGGTGAGCTCCTGACCTCACCCCAGCTCCTGACCACCTACTAGTTCAAAAGCACGCAAATGCAAGTAGATTAATAGGTATCACTTTGGTGGGAAGGTAACAGCGTTCCGTGTGCCTTTGGCATAGTCATGCTGGCCACATGGCCATGAAAAATGTCTTCAAACAATACTGGCCCACTCAGCCAAGAAATGGAGATGAGCAGTGTGCCCTAAAGTCGAACCTGACTGGCCAGGGAAATCTTTACTTTTACATTAAATTTGATCATGCTTATAGGGAACTGTATAGGTATGTGCGTTTGTGTGTATCTCCTATAAGAATGACCAAATTCATTTAGAGCAGGGGTCCCCAACCGCCGGTCCGCGGACCGGTACCGGGCCGCGGAACAAGCCTTACCGGGCCGCTGGTTGCTGGGCGCCGCCATCTTTTTTTTGGTAAAAAAGCGCTTCTGGTGAGCTTTTCCGGGTAGAAAGCTCACCGGAAGCGCCTTTTCGTCATAAAAAGATGGCGGCGCCCAGTTGACGCCGGTACCGGGCCGCGGCGCCCAGCTGATGTCGGAACCGGGCCGCGGCGTCGAAAAGGTTGGGGATCCCTGATTTAGAGCACTTGCCCCTTATGAAGGTATTTTGCAATTATTTGCAATAATTCAGAGCTTCGTATTTTCCAAAGCCTACAGCCAATTCTGAAGGGTTTCCAATTGGCCAAAGATTTCCACAAGTTGGTATTACTAAGATCAGCATAGGGACTTCTGAAGCCATTTTTATTTCAATTGTCTGCCACAGGTTGATACCAAGAGAGTCGGAGAAGAGTTTCTTTTCATATACATACATTGAACATATTGAATAAGTGGTTTAAACTACCCTTATGAAACATTATATGGGGGTGGGGGAATTGTTGAATTTCTGAATAAATATTAAATACCCTGAATCAACTCATATTTAGTAAATATGTTTAGTAAATATGTAATAAGTTGAGCTACCATGTTTCCCCCAAAATAAGACCTGGTCTCATATATATATATATATACATCGCCCCTGGCCTCCTTTTTGCTGTCAGAGGCTTTCAGGAACTTCTTCTGAAGCCGTCAAGGCTTTCTTGAAGGCCTCTGCAGCCAATAAAAAGAGCTCCGGATTGATCCGGAGCTTGGTTATCAGCTACAGAGGCCTTCAGGAAAGCCTTGCCAGCCTTGCCAGCTGCCAAAGAAATGGGCAGGCAAGGCAGGTGTCGGGGTATGCGAGGCCTGGCTACAACTGTCCAAAGGTAAGTAGCAGGGCACCTCCATCCCTCTATCCCCACCCTAGCTTAATTTTTACCCGTGCACTCTGGAATGGGTGGGATCTCATCTAGGGCTTATATTAGGCACACATGTAAAAGCCAAGCTAGGACTTACTTTCAGGGTAGTCTTAATTGATTTTCGGGAAAACAGGGTAGATTAATTTAAAATAAGTGATATGAAATATCCAAGAAAGTTAAATCAGATGTAGTAGTGTTCAATGTAATTTGGGAAATAGAAAATACATTCAGCTTAATCCTTATTACACCATGAAAATCTAAAGCAAGATATAAAGTAATTGGCACCAGTTGGATCAATGGAGAAAGTCAGACACTGCTCTGACAGTTCTTAGGATTCAGGTGAACATTCCTGATAACATTCATATTTAAGATTATTGATCTTGGAATATTAATGGCACATCCTCTCAGCAATGCCTAGTCAACTAAGGCAACAGTTCTAATATATGAAGTGGGGGACTGAGCAAAATAAATAAATACTTCTTGCAAATCCATAATTCAAATTTGAGTTTACTCAGCCCATTCATCAGATCAGAACATTTTGTCAAATCCATTTATCGTGGGCTGTTCCCTAATACCACTAGATGATATCGCTAGGGTTGGCTGCCTTAGAAGAGTGAGGAAAATTATCAGGAATGACTCACATCCTGGTCAGCACTTCTTCACTCTCCTACCATCAGGTAGGAGATACAGAACCATAGCCAGCCACACCAACAGGCTGAAGAACAGTTCCTACCTGTGGGCTGTCAGACTTCTGAATGGAAAATAACTTCATGTCAAGATAGTATGATAGACTTGCAGGGATGGTGCGTTGTGCAACAAGGTCACATAGTGCAATAAGATTGGGACTGGGTTAGGGACTTCTGTGCTCACTGTGAGTTGTGTTGGGGGGGGTGGTGCACGAAGGGAGGCTCAGCCAATCTCATTGTACATATGTTGTACTCTGACAATAAAGATAATAATTTAAAATATTATATTTAAAATCCTAGGATTACCTTGAAAGGGCTGGCTCATAAACTCCGTGTAACATCATTTTTATGGCACTGAAACATCTCATTTTTTGGTATGTTTTATTTTCAAATAAAAACTGTCTAGATAACTGTAGACAGGCATCAAAACTGATAATGACGACTCTGTGATGGGAAGTCGTATTGATATATTCACAGCTCTTTTACTATACCCATCCCTGCCCTTTGTTTAAAAAAAAATCCAGGGGAATTCAAAATTATATTAAGGTAAGATGAAAGTCAATAACCAATATCATTTCAGAAAATTGTTCTGAACAACAACACTATCACTTGAAACCCATTGTTGTTTCCAATACATATTTTGGGTACCAATAAGCCATATCAGAGCATGTTTTCCAAGGTAACTAGTGAATACTTTTCAAAGTTTTAGTGTTATGTCTCAAATGTATTCCCAACAAACCCAGGAATGCATTTCCACTTCTGGCTTTCAGGTAAATCAAATAAACTCACCTCTTTGACCAGCTGGTATACCTGCGTGGGAACTTGCATTCTCCAGGTCCTCTAATAAGACAAAATAAAGTCCACCAATATGACATAGGTAGTGACAACTCTTATTAATTCAGATTTCTTTTCATGTCAGTTTTCAGCAGTGATCTGCTTAAAATACCGCTCTAATCAACTTTGAAGTCACTGAATATCAATGTTCAGGACCTATTAACCACAACATGATGTGTGAATGCTCTATTATACTGACATTCAATTTGGCAATGAACATGAGAGAAGATTCATCTGCACCCTATTTTTATGGGAAAAAACAGGGAATTTTTTTTCCTGCAGGGTTAGAAGCCATTCATGACCCTGACCCTGATTACATTGCAGTTTCCTGCCATTTTTATGTGCAAAAATGTATTTTTGAAGGAGAAAACTGAAGCAAGGTACATCACAATAAAACAGTTGTTAAACAAACAATGAAATGCTAAACATTCCTCCCAAAGCTCAGTCCTGCTCATATATGTGACAGGATTACAGGTAATTCTCAACTTAGGACCACAATTGAGCCCAAAACTTTAATTGCTAAACAAAATAGTTGTTAAGTGAGTTTTGTCCCATTTTACGACTTTTCTTGCCATAGTTGTTAAGTGAATCACTGCAGTTGTGAAGTTAGTAAAGCAGTTGTTAAGAGAATCTGGCTTCCCATTGACTTTGCTTGTCAGAAGGTTGCAAAAGGAGATCACATGACCCTGGGACACTGCAATGGTCATACGTATGAGTCAGCTGGCAAATATCCAAATTTTGATCACGTGACCATGGGAATACCACAATGGTCATCAGTGTGAAAAACAGTTCTAAGCCACTGTTTTCAGTGCCGTTGTAACTTTGGTCACTAAATTAATTGTTGTAAGTCAAAGATGGTAATACCTATAGTCTATATCAATGAAGATTTAGGACTTAGATCAAGGTACTCCTATGAGAACAATACTATTTTGCATTCAGCTAGAAAAGTTTGCTTGATTTCATAAAGATTTTTGAAAGATGGTTAAACAGATCAATTGAAACTTCTTTTAAAAATCCACATGAAATTATGCAATGTTTTGTAATATAGAATAAAACGCACGCACAATATTCCAAAGAAAAAGATACTAAGCTATGAATAATGGTACCTCCCATTTTACTTTTTATCCTTTTCCAAGAACTGAGCTCACATTTTAAATGACCTTTGTACTGCAATGAAAATCTAACTTTTCTTGATCTCTTTCCAGCCTATCAGCAAACATTTAAATGATGGAATATTTATTCCAATCTTCATCTGCATTAATTCATACTAAATAAATTTTTGGAGATGTAAAATAATTCTTTTGGAGCTCTCTATGTTGAAGGTTCCATCTTCTGAATTAGAATAAAGAATGGGCTGAAGGAAGAAGAACACTCAATTCTCTTTAGAGAAATAATTTTTTTTTAGCTACAATTGCTTCGCTTCTAAAAAAAAGTTCATTTTAATGTTTACAGACATTGTTGATTCAATTTAGCAGAGATAATTTTCAGATCACTGAGGAATTGCTTCATGTATCCCCAAAATGCAGTTAGCTCAGAGTCAGAATTAACCATTTGGCAGGCTCAAAGCAGTTACAGAATTGCAATTAAAAACAAGCAAAAAAATCAACTGTTCCTTTTCATTTGCTCCTTCCTATATATTAATAGCTTATTGCAATTAAAGTAATTTTCCTCAACACAGTTTAGGTATAGCTTGCTTAGCTTTCCCATAGATGGAAAATACCAATATTCAATTTATACTCGGTAACGGTATTAAATCCAAGCTGAGTTTGTGGGCAAGCAGCAAAGGAGCAAGTGAATGAAACATATAAGGGTAAGCATATGCTTTTTCTTTTTAGGATAGTTAAATAAAATCCAACCTTTAGCTGGTGAGAACTGCTGAGGCATGTGAGGATCGGAAGAAAGCTCCAATGGAAATTGCAGCTGTTCTTCATTGTCTGTGGAAGCTTGAAATAATAAAGTGGTAGATAAATATTGATTTTTCCATTAAAATGCAGATGTCCTGAAATCACGGCATCCACAATGGCAAAAGAATGAATGTGTACATTCCCAAATGTTTTTTTTACCTCTTTGTAGGTTTTTTTCTACAGTTTTAGCTGTTTGCAAAGCCTGGTGTTTGTCAAAGGTTATTGCAACAGCTGTAACAGTAATCTGTAATTAGAAACATTTGACTGTCAGTTTTTTCCATTCATTCATGCATTCATTCATTCATGCATTCATTCATGCATTCATTCATGCATGCATTCATTCATTCATTCATTCATTCATTCATTCATTCATTCATTCCAGTGTCCCTTTAGCTTAGAAATACACATGTGTATAGACATACAAACATGGGATATACATGCATACACACATGCAAAATTGTTGCATACTCGAAATATACCCCACACAGCGTCACAATTTTACAATGAAAAAATAACATTCATAATCTTTTCTATGAAGGTTGTCAATCAGCCAGGTCATGGTTGACTTAAAGGTGTCTTCTCCCAAAGGAAACTGAAATGTTTTCCAAGGGAAATAAAAACCAAGAAATTCCAGATGCCTTTTGGAAAAAGCACCTTTCGGACATTCATAATCTTGTCTGATAAATCTCTTCAGATTTAAATCAGAGATCACCATGAGGCTAGGTAGGTTTCCCCAATACAGATCCAATTTGACCAATGTTACTTTCATACAGCCCTGTCCTGATTCAGAATAATGTAAACACTACAGAATGTAAATGGCAATAAGAACAGGCTTACCTGAACTAATTCATCTTCTGGAAGTGCAACAGTAAAGTTGACGTGGCACAGGCAACAAGGGATCATCGAACGGAGTTTAAAATAAAGGCTCTATGAAATATAAAAAATGACTAATAAGTTCCATCTTCTTTTGGGGCCACTGGCAAGCATTTACAAATTTAAGAAGCATCTTCAGCATAGAAGCAAGATGGCTCTCGTTCGGAAAATTCTATTCGGTCAAAGAGCATCAGGATGACTTGGTCAGTCGTAAATTAGTGAGAATGGCAAGTTAGAAACGTTAGAAGACTCCAAACCCTATGCTGTACATTGTTTTTGCTGTTTTCTTTGAAGTTTCTAAATGCACGGTTAGCTGCCCAGAATGATGAGAATGAGATGGATGGCTACAGAAACTGTTTAAAGGCATAAAAAAGCAAATACAAACCCATTTCTTTGAACCTCCAGGTTTCTGCTCAATAAACCCTTTTGCAAAAAGATAAATGGAAGTAGCTGAAATTGGTGTCTCGGATCTAAAACATGCAATTTTGCTCATTTTACCCTTAAAAACCAGGCCGTCGTCTCTAAAATGTAAGGCACCAATTTCACTGCTTCAATTCATTCTCTAAAAAACAGGATGAAAATCCACTCTTGGCCTTGCCATTCAGGGACCTCAACACAACCAACATGGCCTTTAGTGGCATCAAACTGTTCTTTTTAGAAATGTATTCTCAGGATGCAGGCACGTTGCCCAGCAACACACAAGTCTTACTTCTGCTCATCCAACCCCCCATGTCACTGTGTGTGTGGCTTTGAGTCATTGTTGATTCCTGGAAACTGCCTGAACTGCAGATAGTCCTCAATTTACAACCATTGATTTAGCAACCTTCAAAGTTATAACAGCTCTGAAAAAAAGGACTTTCGTCTGCTCCTTGTGCTTATGGCCGTGGCAGCATCCCCAAAAGTTATGGGATCCAAATTTGGGCACTTGGCAACTGGCATGTAGTTACAAGAGTTGCAATGTGCTTGAAGCATTTGCAACGTTGTTCAGTTGGCAAAATTAATGGGGAATGCATAACAACCATGTGATTTACTTAACAACTGCAGTGATTCTCTTAACAGCCATGGCAAAAAAGGGTATAAAATCGGGCATGACTCATTTAACAATCACTCTGCTTAGCAACGAAAATTCTGATCCCACTTATGGTCGTTGGTTGAGGACTACCTATAGTCCTGCAGTTTTCCTGGCAATATTTCGGATGTGCCATTGTTTTCTTCTTCCTAGGCCTGAGAGAGTGACTGGCCCAAGGTCACCCAGCTGGGGTGTCAAGGATGAGAACTCGGCAGTCTCCCATATTCTATCTTGGAGCCTAAACCACTAAAGTAAACTGGCTCTCTGTTCATTTCATTATCTCCCCAGATTCCCAGGTGTATTAGATAAAAACGTTCTCTTTAAAAAATGTTCAGATTGCCAGGAAGCCGAGTTCCAGTTGCATAGTCCTTTCTTATGTCTTCTGAAAAAAGTTCTTCATAAACTTGCAAGTCATGTTGTGTGGAAAGAAGTCAACCAGAGTTTGGAGCTCCCATCCATCCATCCATCTATCCCTCCATCTCATCCTAGCAATTTATCTTCTATCTATCTACCTACCTACCTATCTCATCCTCTCTCTCATCCTGCCTGCCTGCCTGCCTGCCTGCCTGCCTGCCTGCCTATCTATCTATCTATCTATCTATCTATCTATCATCTATCTATCTATCTATCTATCTATCTATCTATCTATCTATCTATCTATCTATCTATCTAAAAATGTAAGTGGGCAGTTGAGTAGTTGGCAAGTATGAAGGATAATTTGATGGTACTTGCAGATTACCACGCTGTTGACCCCTTGTTTATACCAATGCTCAGCATACTATGAAAAGTGGGAAAATATTGGTTTAATTTCTTTATAACTCCTAGTTGATCTGTTGAACATGATACCCTAAACAGAGAGGGTTAGTGAGAAAATGCTGTCCCCATGAAAAGATGACCCAGCTGATGACATTGATTGTGTAACTGGAAAAACTCACAGCTAAGCAAATGGGCCTTGAATATACTTCAACTCCAAATTTATGCAAATGAAATGTTCCTGGTGCCTGCCTGAGGAGTATGACAAGGAGTATTTGTTTTTTTAGATAGCTGTACAATGACTCATTTCAGAAAAGAAATCCATATGATTTTAGAAAAATTAAAGATCACAGACATGTATTATTTTATCAGATCCAGAGCCGTTTCAGATAGCAAATCTGGCAAACCAAATCTTATTTGACTTTAAATCAGAGCATTAATCAGTACTATGAATGCTGCATCTGTTGAATACATCTTTTTGATCTGGATTTAATTTAGTGCAGTAAAATTTAGATTGGAAAGTAATTTACAAATGTTCAGTTTTTTTCTTCAGAGATGTAAATTGCAAGAAACTGTCCAGTACAGTGCAATTTTTTAGAATAGATTTCACTTGAATTGAAGTTAGTCCTAAAATGTAGGCTTTCCCAAGATTCTTGAAAAATTCAGGATCTTCGTGATATGTGATATTTAGGATAGGTGATGGTAATATAGTCTTTGGATTCTATAATTCTGTTATTTTAATTTTTTACCATGAGCGTTTTTTATGTTTTGATTTTATTTTGGTCATTGACCAAAACACAAATAACCAAAAGAGTCACAATTGATTAGAATAAAACCAGCCATAAAATCTTGTAACAGTCTGAAATTGTAAAATTAAATTAAATTGTAAACTAAAGAAGTTGGGGTGTAAAAAGTACTGTGAATAGCCATAAGTTTTACAGCATGTAAAGGATTGCCAAAGATAATACATCTAATTAAATAGACCATGGATAGACTGCAAAGGTTAGCTCATGATTTTTGGGAAGATGGGAAGATAATGTAGTAACAATAAACAAAGTCATTTGGTTATTATTTTACACAGGATATTTGATGTCTTCTATATAATAGTTATTGATTTAACAGTCATCTATAATTTACACCAGAAAAGCAAGCAAACACACCTAAAGCAAAGGACTCATTAAACAAGTAGTTCAGATAACTAGATTAATTCCAACAAGCATTCTCTTACCTTTAATAGATTCTCACAGAGATCATTAAAGGTCTTGTTCAGAGTTTGGTTTGTGAGGGTAATATTGCTAAGTCTGGAGACTCTTACAGACGTAAACATCTGAAGCAGAAAAACAAGATCGTGAATTGTCATCCTTAAGTATAAATAAAAGTCTTATTATTGGCTGAATTACAACTGAGGTATGAGACAAAAGAAAAATAAAATTTATTCTAGGATGATTTAATGCCAACTAGATCAGGTGTGATCAGTGGTGGGATTCAAATTTTTTTACTACCTGTTCTGTCGGCGTGGCTTATTTGGTGGGCGTGGCTTCGTGGTCATGTGACTGTGGACGTGGCTTGGTGGTTGTGTGGTTGAGTGGTTGTGGCCAACTTACATCAAGTGTGGTCACTCACATCAAGGGCTGCCTCACCTGGCCCCTCCCTTCCCAGCCATTCCTTGTCACCCAGCCTCAACTTATCTATAGTTCTGTAAAAATGTTGTTCACCTTTTTTGACTTTATTATCTACATACTATAGATGTACTTTCATGGACCACTGAAAGGAGGAAATGGCTCACATGCTTTGCCCAAGAGTGCGATAGGCAACAGGCTTTTAAGGGGCTGCCAGAAAGAAAGGGGGGAGGAATGTATTTTCCAAAGCACCAGAAGGCACACAAGAAGCAATGGATGGAAACTGAACAGAGAGAGAAGCAACCTAAAACTAAGGAGAAACTTCCTGACAGTGAGAACAATTAACCAGTGGAACTACCTGTCTCTAGAAGTTCTGGGTGCTCAATCACTGGAAGTTTTTAAAAGACTGGACAGCCATTTCTCTGAAATGGTATAGGGTTCCCCCTAAAGTCCCTTCTAAGTGTTATTCTGACACCTTTCCCAGGACCTCTACTCAGAGTTTGGCATCCTCAGTTTTCCTGCCTGAGCAGGGTCTTGGACTAGAAGACCTCCAAACCCCCTTTCAACTCTGTTAAACACACATGTATTTATGCTCTGGACTAGAGACATTGAATCCATGTAAACCCTGAAAAAAATGTGGTAGCTCTGGGCAAAAGAAAGGCAGTAGAATCACTCTAGGTGTAAGGACAGTGTAAAATATTAACACATGATAAATGATGGAACAATTAAAAATAATAGCACAGAGTTTTTTCTGTCTCTCTCTCTCTCTCTCTCTCTCCCTTCCTTCCTATTTCTTTTTCTTTCTTTCTCTTTGTCTCTTTCTGTCTCTCTCCCTTCCTTTCTTTCTTTCTCTCTCTCACACACACCATACACACACTCTCTCTCCCTATTTCTTTCTTTCTTTCTTTCTTTCTTTCTTTCTTTCTTTCTTTCTTTCTTTCTTTCTTTTTCTTTCTTTCCTTCCTTCCTTCCTTCCTTCCTTCCTTCCTTCCTTCCTTCCTTCCTTCCTTCCTTTCTTTTTCTTTCTTTCTTCTCTCTCTCTCTCTCTCTCTCACACACACACACACATACACACCTCTGTCAGCCTTCATTCCCTCTCGCTCCAGGCACTTTACTCACAAGGGGAAGTGAATCCAGCACTGGAGAAGTTCTGCAGGTTAACAGACTTGCATTTGAAGCTCCTGCAAACTTCCCCATGGCTGGATTCCCCCCCCTCCCCCAGCGTTCTTTCCCTCTCCTCCAGGCACTTTTCTCACAAGGGGAAGCGATACTTCTAGTGTCCCTGAAGAATCCAGCCTTGGAACAGTTTTGCAGGTTAACGGACCGCTGCTCCACCCACAGTCATATGTTTTCAAGTGGCTGTTTGAAAATGCATGGCTAGGGCAGGGGAGCAGTCCTCCTTTAAACTTGGGCAAGCAAGCATCGGGCGGGCGGGGCAAGCAAGTAAATGGAAACCAGGCGACTGGGTTGGGGGCGTGGGCAGCAAGATGTTGCTACCGGTTCGGCGACCCACACCAAATTCTTGCTACTGGTTCACCCGAGTAGGTGCGAATTGGCTGAATAGCACCTCTGGGTGTGATGCATTTCAGGCTGATGACAATCCCATGTAGATTGGAATGAATAAATTTTGCAACCATAAATGAAAAATAAATACATTCGTATAAGAGAAGAGATACAGGACTGGGAACACAATCTTTGGATCAAGTGTTAAGACTGGACATTTATTGCAATAAAGCTTTATGGCAAGCTTTATGTGTGGGATAATAATCTATAGAAGTAGTTCTTGACTACAATTAAGTCCAAAATTTCTGTTGCTTAAGTGAGACATTTGTTAAGTGAGTTCTGTCCCAATTTACGACCTTTCTTGTCACAGTTGTTAAGTGAAACACTGCAGTTGTTAAATTAGTAACATGGTTGTAAAGTGAACTTGGCTTCCCCCATTGATTTTGCTTTGTCAGCAGGTCACAAACGTTGATCACATGATCCTGCTATATTACAACCATCATAAATGTGAATCACTTGTCAAGCATCCAGTTGTAAATCACGTGACCACGGGGATGCTGCAACGGTCATAAGTGTGACGAATGGTCATAAATCACTTTTTTCAGTGCCGTTGTAACTTCACAGTCACTAAATGAACTGTTGTCAGTTGAGGACTACCTGTACTTTCTTTCAAGTTTCTTTACTAGCTATGGTTATGGAACTGACGCAGAGAGAGGAAACATTCTTAATTGTGGGGCCTCATTTGAGATAAACTTGCTTGGATCTACAGTACATAATTTATGTGGTGGGGGAAACCCACATTTTTGATAATGCCAAAAACAGAATTTAAGCAAATTAATATGAAGTGAAAGAAAAGTAGTTTTGCATACTTTATTAGTCTGAAAATTGATCTGAGTATATTAATACTATTTTACCTGTATGTCAGAAGTCCAATTGTTTATTCCAGGCATAATTTCTGTATTGCAGCTATAAAAGCCTGACAAAGAACAAATTCAGTTTTTTAGTATTAAAAAAAGAAGATGATAATGGCATTCTTTCATTTGCTCAGGTTTTCAGCATTGCTGATTGATGAAATCACTGTGCTTTCTATTTGCATGGTATTTTTTGAGAAAGAGGCAATCTAGTAATATTCTAAAGCAATATGTATATATATTTAGGAACGAATAAATCAGTTCAATTCAATTAAATATAACTTAGGTTCTAGTACACTGAGACACTGAAAGTGCTTATTAAATACACAAATCCACAATAAAGTGTGTCACCTTCATTACATACAAGCAAATATCTATTGAGTTTGCAAATTATGTAACTTTTCTAGCGATCTAACAATAAATGGTCTTACTTTTTATAAGATCAAATTCAGGAAACCTAAAAGTATGACCTCTTCTAATAGAAAATGCAAATGGGATTATTCTACTTACTGTGAAAAGAGTACTGGCTATTGTCAAACCTTTGGGAGCATTTTATAATATTATCAGAATTTTAAAAACTCAACTGTACCTGAGGGTGGAGGGATATCTGTCAACAAAGAATGAACGTCTTCCATTGCGTCTGTATCATCAATCTGAGGAAAAAAACAATAACTACACATAATAATTTGGTCTTTGAAATGTTCTTTATCAAGACATATTCTATGTGGAAAGCATATTTAATAAACATACTATATAAAGCGGTGGTAGTATTCAGCCGGTTCACACCAGTTCAGGCGAACCGGTAGCAAGGATTTGGCATGGGTCGCCAAACTGGTAGTAACTTCTGGCTGGCCACGCCCCCAACCCGGTTGCCTGGTTGCCGCTCGCTCGCTTGCCCCACCCGCCCGATGCTCACTCACCCCGCCCACCTGATGCTAGCCTGCCCAGTCACTCCTTAAGTTATTTTTTTTCCCCCTCCCGACAATCAGCTGTTCCTACGATCAGCTGTGCCAGGACTCCCCTCGCTTACCTACTGCTTCGCCCAGGGGGCTTCCCCGAGGCCCAGGAAGGAAAAAAAAAAACACCCTCTGCTTCCCCTCGTTTTTTTTTCCTTCCTGCACCCCAGGGAGGCCCCAACACGAAGCGTGGGGGGGGCATCCCCCCCATGCTCTGTTTCTTTCCTTCCTGAGCCCCAGGAAAAGCCTTCTGGGAGCAAAAACGTCCTCCGGGAGGCTTCCCTGAGGCTCAGAAGGCCCCAAAATGAAGCAGGAGGGGGCTGTGCCCCCCCAGGCTCAGTTTTCTGTCTTCCTGAGCCCTAGGGAAGCCTTCTGGGAGCAAAAACGCCTCCCCAGGAGGCTTGCCTGAGGCCCAGAAGGCCCAAAAACGTGTGTGTGTGCTACACAAAGCAAAAAAAACAAACCATGCCCACCTAGCCACGCCCCCTAGTCACGCCCACAAAACCAGTAGTAAAAAAATTTGAATCCCACCATTATCAGAAGCCTAACTCATATATCCAGAGTTTTAAAATTAAACACTTGGGGACTCGTTAATAGATTTAAACATTTTAGTATATTAAAATTAAAATCTCAGCATTAGTGAGTTTTTTATCATTTCTTTTTTGAAACCTTTCTGAAATATACATATTGTCAGGTGCAAGGAACCAGAATGACACCAGAGATGTTATTTTATTGCTACTCACCTACCGGTATTTAAAAAAAAAAATCTCACCAGACTAACTCCACAAAAAAACAGATAGGGGCTCCAAGGATTTCAGAAAAAGTCAAACCTCCGCTGCTTCCTTTCCATAGAATCATAGGGTTGGGAGAGACCTTAGAGGTCTTCTAGTTCAACCCCCTGCGCAAGGCAGGAGTCTTATATATCTCTCAGCCAAATGGTTGTTCATTCTATTTGTGACAACTTCAAGTGATGGTGCAACCGACAACTCCAGCAGCCAAGCTATTCCACTGATTAATGCGTTCACTGTCAGAAAATTTCTTCTAGGTCGTATCTCTCTTTAACAAGCTTCCACCCATTATTTCCTGTTCTGCCCTCTGGTGAATAACTCCTCTTCTCTGTGATAGTCCCTCAAGTGCTAGAAGACAGCTATCATGTCCTTCTGTTTGATAGGCTACACATTCCTAGTTCCCTTAACTGTCATATGATTTAGCCTCCAGACTCTTTATTATCTTTGCTGCTCTTCTCTGCCCTCTTTCTAGGGCTTCAGCATCTTTTCGGTATCATGATGACCAGAACTGGATATAGTATTCCAAGGGTAGAACACTTATTTATTTCCTGTGGGGATTCGAAGCTAGCCAGTCTCTTAATTCACCCCAACTCTAGTTGCAGATTCCACCACACATGCTGCTTATTTTCAAAAATGCAAAGTTTAGTTCAGTTTAAAGCTCTTTAAACTAAACTAAACTTGTCATTGCACCTCATACAACAAATTAAATGCCACCTTCAGTGTACATTATAACTATAAACATAAAACACAAACACATCCTTCACATTCTATACAATTGAACTGAAAACCCCTGATATTCCCTTAATATTGCACTATACAGTAGAATTCAATCTAGTTACTGCTCTGGGATAGAAGCTGTTTTTCAGCCTATTGGTCCTTGCTTTTATTATCTGGTACCGTCTGCCAGATGGTAATAGTTAAAAAAAAAAGGTACCCAGGATGAGATGGATTTTTAAGAATGTTTTGAACTTTCTTAAGGCAGTGGTTTACAATAGCTGTTTTTATTAAATATCTCTCCCTCCCTCCCTCCCCACTCTCTTACACACACACACACACAAAAATCAGATATGCTGTCTACAAAATGCAAGAATATTTAACTACAAACGACATGGTTCTGTAATTCAATAAATGAATTTCGTTCATTCTTTATAAGTCAGGTAGAAGATGAACTTTTCTGAAGGCGAACACACCTCCAACACAAAGGCGTCTTTCTTGCCATGAGAGAGATCCAATTCTGCAATTTCATCAGAGCTTTCAGACTGAGATCTTAGCAACCTGGTCCGGTGTCTTGGTTCTGGAATGGGAGAACCTACAATTTCTTCAGATGTCTCCTACGCAGAACAATATGGTATCATGTAGGCATCTCACATTTATTAAATCTCACAAAAGAGCTTTAAACATTTCACTGTTACCTCCACAACTTTCTTCCAACATAAAGAAAAAAAAGGGTATGAGATCTCTTAGTATTTCTATCCTGATCAAAATGAGTAACTTTTCCCTCCCTTTTATTCTTGAACCTGTTTAGTTTTAGAACCACTTTCTTCTCTCTCCTTATTTTTATTGGGTTCTCTCTTTAAACATTGATTAGCTTTATATTTTCAGAAGTCAACTACATTTAAGCTTTCATTCATAATACAGGTAGTACTCAACTTTCAGCAGTTCATTTAGTGACTGTTTGAAGTTACAACGGTACTGAAAAGCACTTAAGAAATGGGGCAAGAAAGGTCATAAAATGGGGCAAAACACACTTAACAAATTTCTCACTTAGCAACATAAATTATGGGCTCAATGGTGGTTGTAAGTCAAAGATTACCTGTAGGGATAAATGTCCCTGCCTTATGAGAAGCATGTGACTTAAATTGTGTCAGTACTTATACAACATGGCTTACCGGAGGGTTAATCTCATACAGCTCTTTGTTTCTGGTGATTGTGTCATTGATTTTCTTCTGCACATGAGATATATGCTGTTCATAAGTGGCATCACTGGGAGTTTTTCCCGCAATCTGAATACCACCAGGAGTAGGTAAAGCAGCCAGGTAAACCCCTGTAGCAGACTGTAAAACAAGTATGCCAGTAAGAAAATAAGGCTTTATGGGAAACACAATCTAACACCTTCCTCCTATTGGTATAAAAAATGTAAGGGCTTAAAATGTGTTATTGACTGTTTATCTGGGTCAGTTTCCTCAAACATAGCACCCTGAAGATGTGTGGATTTCAACATATTCAGAAATTTCCAAGTAGAAACAAAACTAGATATATATTTTTTTCTTTAATGGTGTCCGCAACATCTTAAAGCTCTTGAGATTGAGAAACTCTGATCTAGACCAGGGGTCTCCAAATTTGACAACTTTAAGACTTGTGGACTTCAGTTCCCAAAATTCCTCAACCAGCTGTGCTATGTCTCCAGGAATGTGCTGGGTAATTCTGGGAGTTGAAGTCCCACAAGTCTTAAAAGTTGCCAAGTTTGGAGACCCCTGATCAAAGAGTTATAAACCTGAATTTGTAGAAATCTTGGCAATTTAAGCTCACGGGTTATCTTTGTGCATTTAATGTCAAACACAAAAGGCACCATTACATGCTGTAGATATAACCCCACAAAATCAGTGATGAAGGATAACATCTGACCTCTAAAGAGATCTTCATTAGTAGCCTTTATTGTGGTAGAAACTTTTAAAGTGGACTGAAACACCAGAAACTGGCTTCTAGCTGCTATTCATTAACTTTAGAAAAAGACTATTGTAAGTCTTTCCATTTTGAAATCTTCATGGTTTATTTTAAAAAGCTGTTTCTTTCTTACAACCTTTTTTTTAAAATGACTAAGACGACAAATCTTGACATTCTGGGTTTATAAGACATGTAAAACCATCCTATTTTGTTCAATGCTTAAGTATTTTTCCAGGATGAAAAACTGGAGGGAGATTATACTAGAGCAGGGCTGTCAAACTTGCGGCTTGTGGGCCGGATGTGTCATGCGCTGGACAGGCACGTGACGCTGCCATGACGATGCAAGTTGGACACCTCTGTCTTAGAGGATTAGAAAAAAATATATCAAATTGTTTAAAACACAAATGGAAAACTTACTGCCAGACCCATCAACATCGTTTCTCCCACCGTGATCTGTATCCGTAGGCCAAAGAGGGCATTCATCCCTCTCAGCTTCAGCTTATTCATCAACTGAGTGTGTACTTCATACTCCATAAATGGCAGCAGGTTACTGATGCAGGTTGCGTTGGCTTCGGCTTGGGCTTTCTTTTTCAGCCTACATAGCCTATTGGGGAGGGAACAATAAATTTCAAGGAATGTGGCCTTAAGGAATCATAGAGTCATAGGGCTAGAAGGGACCTTGGAGGTCTTCTAGTCCAACACTTTGCTCAAGGTAGGAGTCCTTATACCATCCTGGACAAACGGTTGTCCAGTCTTGAAGACCTCCAGCGATGCAGCTTCCACAACTCCAGGAGGCAAGCTATTCCACTGGTTAATTGGGCAAGACATCCCACTGATTAATTATTCTCACTGTCAGGAAATTTTTCCTTAGTTCTACGTTGCTTCCCTCCTTGATTAGTTTCCATCCATTGCTTCTTGTCCTGCCCTCAGGCGCTTTGGAGAATAAATTGACCCCTTCTTCCCTGTGACAGAACTTCAAGTAGTGGAAGACTGTTATCATGTCTCTCCTGAACCTTCTCTTCGTTAGACTAATTATATCTCACTCCCTTAGCTATTTCACTGTATGATTTAGCCTCCAGATCCCTTATCATCTTTGCATCTCTTCACTGCACTCTTTCTAGAGCCTTGGGGTATTTTTTGTCTCATGAAGTAGAGTAGAAAAGTGAAAGTAGAAAGCAACAGGGGTATAAAAATCTATGTAAGTGCTGAGAGCACTTATGGAGACCCTAGGCTTTTTGCAGCATTTACAGAGAGAACGGCATTTTAAAGAGAAAAGCCACAATGAACTGAATTGTTAGTTCAGCAGAAAAAAGTGTTGTGCTTGGCCAAGGCTATTCTACTAAGAAACCTCGCTGTATTCTGTGGGATCTCTTTCTTCTAAATGTCCTTCACTGCTAAAGAATGGGCCAGGGACAGCAGATTGCTTATCTGTGAACAAAACATGCTCACTGAAGTAGGGCCAGTTTGGTCTGGTGGTTAAGCACCAGGCTAGAAACTGGGAGATTGTGAATTCCAGTCCTTAGCCATGAAAGATGGCTGTCTCTGGACCAATCACCAGGGAACTGTGAATTCTAATCCTCTTAGCCATGAAAGCTGGCTGGCTGGCTGACTTTAGGCCAATCACCAGGAGACTGGGAGTTCTAGACATGAAAGCCAGCTGGGTGGCCTTGGACCAGTCACTCTCTCTCAGCCCAACCCACCACTTCACAGGGTTGTTGTTGTTGTGGGGAAAATAGGAGGAGGAAGGTGGATGTTTGCCACCTTGAGATACTTCTTGAAATAAGAAAGGCACAATACACTTAACAATAGGTCTTTTCTTCCTGTATTCCCACCTGGCTTGGATGAGGCATCCTTTCCCAAACACCACTGCGTCCACAGGCAGGTCTATGGTCGTGAAAAGAACATCGGGCACTTTCTGCTTCCTGCAGCTGCAGCAGTAAGCAAGGCGAGCTGGGAATGGCATGTTCAGTTCATCATAAGGGATGTGGCAGAAGCCACAACCGGGAGGTAGGGATTCCTCTAGCCTAAGAGACAAAATGTTGACAAGTCTAAAATTGCCTTTCAGACGCCAACTTTCCAAACAGGGTTGGTTGCTTGAAGTGGGGGGGGGGTTCACACATGGCTTATATACAGATATCCTATACAGGTAGTCCTTGACTTACAACCACTGGTTTAGTTACAGTTCAAAGTTATGAGGGAACTGAAAAGAAGTGACTTATGACCACTCCTCACATTTAAAACCGTTGGAGCATCCTCGAGGTCATGCGATCACAATTTGGCAACCGGCACTACTTAAGACAACGGCAGTGTCCCAGGGTCACGTGACTTACCCTTTGTGGGTTTTCCAGGCAGCTCTGACAACCAAGCCAATGGGGGGGAAGCCAGATTTGCTTAAAACTGCACAATTCACTTAACAACTGCAGTGATCCACTTAACAACGGTGCCAAAATATGATAAAAATGGCTATGACTCACTTAATGCCTTGCTTAGCAACAGGAATTTCAGTTGCAACGGTGGTCATATGTTGAGGGCTACCTGTACATGGCTGGCCAGTCGGCTTTTTTTAATAAACTTTTTTTTTTGCATTTGAACAAGTTAATCAACAGACATTCCTGTCTTCCAAGAGGCCAGATAATTAATTTCCCCTCCCCCTTTTTAAACCACACCAACTCCTGACAGATACACATGCACGGACAGATTAATAGAAACCATGTAGCTTTTTGTGAATTTGGTTTCAATAGCTCTAAAAGACACAAAACAATACAAATACTCATTTTTGTTAGGTTTAGAGTTCATGAAGCGATTATTTGGGTAGGAATGGAAAAACTTGTGTCATGAAAGAAAGAACAGTTTTAATGGGTCAGAAAGACAACTACAAGTAGGTTTTTTAGCAAATTTGGCTATGAATGCAAATCAGCAACTAAATGTCGCCTGCTAGAGAAATTTATTTTTTATAAAAACATTTATTTTATTTAGTTATTTATCTATCAAATTTGGAGACCACTGGGTAGGGTGGAATCCTTAAAAGCTACAGAATGTTTTTATTAAAAAACAAAGTGTAGGGGTCAGTGGTATTTCATCATTTTTTTGTTGACCAAGACATGTTTCTGAGCAATAATTATCTTTTCTCAGCCCCCTCTACAATCTCATACCCTTCTGAAGGATCTCCCAACCATCTGGGACAATATGGTACTGTCTTCTGGGGGATCACATCATGCTGAACATGATGGTCATCTCCCAAAAGAATGACTTGGCAACATTAGAGCTAGTAAAAAAAAATCAGCATTTTTTCCACTTAATACATTTTGGTGGGGTGTTTTTTTTCTGAAGAGGTGAACTTGATCATTTTCTATTGAAAAATTATATTTGGTGAAACCTTGATTTGACAGATGAGGGAGGAGGCGGACTGTGTTACACTCAAAAGGCCTGTAAAATCGTACAGGGTGTCCTTTGTGGCAATTTTAGTGCTTTGCGGACTGACACCATGACAAATCATGTCAGCTTGATGCTCTGAAGTAAATTGTCATAGCTGACCCAAGTATATTGTAGATTCAGCTCTCTCACCCAGACCTGTACAGTTATTGGGGGGAGGGGGTACATTGAGAGAAAAATCTGGACCCTGAAATGGGGCTCCGTGAACTGAGGCTTTGCTGTGACTTGAAAAGGAGAGGCAAATCTCTATGTTTGGCTGGGGAATTCTGGGAGTTGAAGTCCACGCGCCTTAAAGTTGCCAAGGTTGGGAAACCTTGCTTTAGTGCAGGGGTCTCCAACCTTGGGAACTTTAAGACTTGTGGACTTCAACTCCCAGAGTTCCTCAGCCA